CAGAAATACTATTAATATGGCTTTTGCTTTGTTTTTAACCTGGGTGTGATCTTGATTATTTAAAAATCKTGAAAAACAGGAATTATATTTGCAGAGTTTAGCACAGTGGTTGTATATTAGTGGCCTGTAGATTTCACATAAAAACCYAAGTTTMTAAATTATTTTGAAAAATTGATGATCTGACATCGGACATGCTTCATCCACACTCGCTGGCCTTTTCCTAGGGCACCGGCTCTCCACTGTGTCCCCTCTGTCCACTGTGTCCAGAGTGTGACAGGTACCTCCCAACCTCATTCCTCCTTCATGTCCTCAAGGAAGATCATCCTGAGACCCAGGTCGGTTCTTCAGAGACAAAATGGATCTAAGGCAGAACATTATTCTTGCAAAGCCCAGGCCAAAAGCTGGAATATGACATAGGACAACCAAATGCTCTGGGCTCCATCTCAGGTGGTCAGGGAGATCTTGGATCTCCAGAGAGAGGACTCCAGGTATCCCTTCTACCATAGCCAGGCATTCCCTGTAGCCCACTGCTATGTTTGAATGCATCCCCCAAATTTTATGGGTTGGCGACTTAATCCCCAAATTCATATGCTAAAATTAGTTGGAGGAGGAACCTGTGTGAGTTGATTAGGTGATAAAGACTCTGTCCTTAAGAGTGGATCAATCCATTCAGAGATTAATGGGTTGATAGAATGATGGGTTATTAAGGAAATGACTTTGTTTTAAAAGTGACTTCTCTTGGCAAGATTGCTCTATCTTGCCATGTGATGCCCTCTGCCATGTTATGATCCAGCAAGAAGGTCCTCACCAGGAGCCAAGCAGATGATGACACTATGCTCCAGGACTTCCCAGCCTCCARAACTCTGACCTAAATCTGCCTCAATTCTTTATAAATTACCTGATCTCAGGTATTTTGTTATAGCAACAGAAACAAATTAAGATGTCCATAGAGGTAGCTGTAGAACTGCATGARTAGGAATGCTGACCCCATAAAAAAGCACTCATAATGTCAATTATTTCAATTTATTTGTTTCATTAGAAAGTAATACCATCTCCCCTGTGAGGAGATGAAGGGATGATTGAGGCCTTTGGGTCCAGACTCAGCCCTTCAAGCGTAAGCCGGAGGGAGGAAAGGCCCAGTCACCTACTCAGAGGTGGGTATGCTCATCCCTTGAACGCATCTCACCACCAGGAGAATGACACCAACTTGTTATCACCGTCAGAGGGACTTCAAGACAGGATGAGCCTGCAGATCTTTGGGTTCACTTTCAGGCCTGCCTCAGCTGCAGTTTCATTTTGGGGGCCAAGGGAATGACCCTAGGGTTGGACTGGATTGAGCAGAATTGTCTCCTTAATCATCTGGAAGTACATGTCACTTAGGAAATGAGGGTAAATGAAGCCAAGAAAAGGAGCCAAGGCTCATATCCAACAAGTAACATCATGAGACAGGCCTGAGGGGGAGGGTGCTGGGCTTTAGTCAGGAAACCACGCTTGACACCCAAGGGTGGAGGGATGGAGAGCTAACTGGGTGGAGATGATGAGACTGGACAAGCATAGGGATCCAAGATGGACAGTCCAGAGGATTTGAGGCATGGGAAAYGTCCAGCCTGCTTAACACCAAAGTGCTCATTGAGTTCTAGGTAGGGGAGGCTAGGAATTGACCAGATCAGAAGCACCTAAAACACAAACTAGCCTTATACTGACCACTAAGACCTACCTGGGGCTCCTYCCAAGTTCTACAGAGACCCAAAGCTTTCAGGAACCCATACAGGGTTAAAAAAGAAGACATCAAACAAATGGAAGTTCACAAGAGCACTTCTAACTTCAGGAAAAATAAGATTAATCAGTGGAAGTAGGAACTTTTAAAGAAAAGAATCAGAACTTCTTCTCTTACAAACAAAGCTTGAACCTCTTAGCAATCACGACTCTGATTGCAAGGATCTCGTTCAAGTGCCTGGAGAGTCTTTTACTGCCAAGAACTGCGGCACTTCACATAGAGGAATTACTCAGAATTCAGCTCTGGTCTAAATCAGCCCAGACAAAAGCCTTAGACAGTTTCCAGACTGAACTCTGCATCAGGTTTTTTTGTTTCTTAGAGGGAAAATGTGATTTTTAAAGTATAGCCTGAATTCACATTTACTGGAGAAAAATCTGTGAAATACATAAAAGTATTAAAAATAAAATAAATACCCATATTCCAAAACCTAGAGATGGTTTACATTTAAAWWWTTTTTTTTCAATTTTTCCATGTGCATACCTATGCTTTTTCTGCTTGAAAATCCGGCATCAAATTACGTTTTTAAAAAGTTGCCCCATCCTCTTTCAGTTACTATACCAGGAACATATACTATACCATTCCTTAATTGATCCTTGAGACAAAACGTTTTCATGGGTCCGTAAGATTGTTTTTTATTTATATGCCATTTTAACCATTTTTACTAGATGATCAATTAGGTTGATTCACTTTTTTTATCATTTCGAATCAGATTCCAATGAACATCTATGGGTATGATCCCTGAACATCAGTCTGATAATTTCCTTTGGAGAAATGTTTGGAATATTAAGAATTGAGGATTTTTTTTAAGACAAGAAATTGGTTTATTTATTATGTTTGTGTTCCAGGTACTCTATTAGGACTTGACAAGAATTGAGGACTTTTTAATACCCACTCTCAGATTGCTTTTCAAGATGGTCATATTCTTTATATTCACACTAATAGTAAACAAGTGTGTTTGTTTCATAAATCATTAGTGAACACTGAGCATTACCATCAAAAAGAAGAGAGGAAAAATACCCTTTGTTCATTTGTTAGTTGGAAAATAGATCTAGCATTTTTCTTTGTATTTCTGTAATTATTAGACACTTTTTCATATGTTTATTTAATGTTTTTATTCTATGGATTATAATCTTCATCATGTACCTTTTTTTTTTTTCCCCTATCGAGGGTAATCACTTTAATATTGATCCAGTTTTGGCATGGAAGGATCCAAAAGGAATCATGATGTTAAAAGCCTTTAGGTTATACCTTTAAACTTTCCAAAGATTTCTCTGAAACATAATGTGAAGGAAATAGGTGGCTCTTCTGGAGCAGAGTATTTCAATGCATGGCTGTTGAACCCTTTTGCAAAAGATTCAAAGTTGGGAGCAGGGAACGTGAATGTGAATTGCTATACCTTCACACACAGCACAGATTTAAGAACTCACATTCCCATTGTCTCTCCGTTTGCTTCGTATGCAGCCCCAGTTTGACAACCRTTATGACTGTTAAGGTCAATGAAACTGATATTCCCGTACCCTCGGAACCAAAGAGGAACCCAAACGCTTGTACAAAGGAGTGAGCCAAACAGTGAACAGAAGCTAAATGGGCTTTTTAGCTTCTTGACCATTATTCTTTTACTTGATTATTGCATTACCATCCATTTACTCAGTCTTCTAAGAAAATTATAGTCATCCTAGATACCTTCTTATTCCTTGTCCCCTTTGTTTTCTCATGTATTAACTGTTTATTTGCCTACAAATATCTTTTAAGTCTCTCCTTTTCTCTTTCTCATCACCCCTTAGTCACTTATTATCTTTCTTTCTGCTTTTTCCTGTTTATTCTACTCATAATCTCTAAGCACCCCCAAAACATTCTAGGTAAGCAGTGTATTCTAAATAGTAATTTGTCTGGAAGCTTCTGTTTGCTATGATTCTAAATGAGCATCCTCCTCACCTCCCACCTTTCCAGTTTTTTGCAACCCCAAATCCTTCCTTATTCTAGTGGAAGAATGAGAGACTGGAACTTTTAGAGATGCTAAAGGATCCAAAAGGAATCATGATAAACACCAGAGAACATTAGGGAATTTTGATTAAGTATGAAAGAGTGAATGCAGTKCAAGAAGCAGCTGTGACCATAGTTCAAGACCCTGGAGATCAAACAGCTCTGAATGGCTACTCTATCGAAGGTATGGCCCTAAGAATGGGTTGCTGAAGGACCTGAGAGGACAGGGACATGCGAGACTACATTGTTGAATGGGTCATATGCACAGACCCTGAAGAGGCTCACATGTATGCTATTATTCAGAGAACCAGTGAATATGAACAGCTCAGGGTAATCTTTTTCCATTCCTGGAAAAAAACAACTTAGAGCAAAGGACAAAGGGTTACTGTGTTGTTCCTTCCATGTAAAAGGAAATAATAATTTTGATGGATTTGGTGGGACATTTAAGAGCCAAGTCAAACTGTGTGCGTAATTGTTTTGTAAAGGTGCTAGGACTTAATTTTCAGATCTGGAATGAGAACAGGTGGTGGCTGGTGGCAGGAGTCACAATGGTTTCCATGACGACGGGATTGGGTTTTAGTCATCTTCCCATCCTCCACAAAACCTACTGCAGCTTTTCTCATAAGGTGCTTATTAAATACTTGTTAAATGAATGATGAGCCACTGAATGGTGTGTGTGCTTTGCAATTAAAGCTGCCGTTCTTTCGCTAGCGTAAAAGCTTTTAAAGTAACAATAATTACTGTATTTACTCATGATATTTTGCATAATTTGCATAATAAYTTAACCTGAAAACAATAAACTATATACTCTCATTCCTGCTTCATATCGTATTCCCTACTGGGGAGGGGTAGCCCAGATGTTTGATTAGAATGGCCTTAAGAGCGGGGAGTGGGCTCCAAGGAGGTGCGTCCCATGCTGCATTCCTGCTCCCCCATCAGCTAAAACGCTCCTTCCGTCCCCACTATCGAAACCCTCCCCTGCCTTGGGCACTGCGCAGGCGCCAATCTGCTCCCTCCGGCCCCCGCCCCGAACCCCACTTCCCGCGCTAAGGCTGGAGCTCGCGGTCCAGCACRTCCGCACAAAAGGCCGGGCTAGCTGGCGTCCCGCGTAGTCCTTAGCAACCATTGATCGTAGTCTCGCTCTCACACGACCCTGAACTGAGACAGTAAGCGGAGCAGCCATTGGCTGGCCTGGGAAGACAGGCCAATCGGAGAAGAGATTATAGGGAGGCGGCTGAGCGAGGTCGGGGTAGGGGTTGAAAGCTAGGGTTAGAGGCAAYCCGTGAGGCTAGAACCCCGAGCGTGGTCGGTTGGAGCAAATATGTCTTTCCGGAGGCACATTGGGAATCCTGAGGTGAGGGCCAGGTCCGGACCTCAGAGCCGGACGGGGCGGGCGCACCGGAAAAGGCGCCACGTGGACAGGGACGACCAGACAGCTACTTCCGCCGCCCGGAAGGCGGGAAGCGGCCGGCGTGAGGAGGGGTCGGAGCTCAGGGCCGGGGGCGGGGGAAGGCCTGGGGCTCCAGGCCATGTTTAGCGTCTGGTGGTGACAGTCCCCAAGTATGGACTGGACGTCCAAATATGGTTTGTCGCCGCGAGGAGCAAAGTACATAAAGTCACAGCCCCTACCTTCAAAGGGCTTACAGTCTAGGAGTGACAGCTGCAAAACTAGTGAAATACAAAGGAAGCTCTGAGCACTAGAGAAACCAGAGGAAAGGGAGCCGTCATTTAATGGTGTTGGTACAGGAAGAGCAGAAACAAGCAGACCAACCCATTGGAAAAGGGGACAAAACAAGGAAATACTTTTACCCCCCCTCCCCAGAACCTCTAACTTCTTCATCTATCTCACCCTAAGTTCTTTGCTGCATTCGTGTCCATCTAAGGTCAACAAATATTAGATGCCCACCACGCAGTAGGTGCTAGACTTAGAGAACAAGACGAGGCCTCCGCCCTTTAGGAAGTCAGTCTCAAGGAGACCTGTAAACAAGATTTTAATACACAKAAGACCAAGGGAGGAAATGAGAGAAGGGTCCTGGGCATTTCAAGGCCATTCATTRGGCCGGTGAAAAAGCATCCCTGGTAGAACAGCATGAGCAAACAGTTGAGTGTTGAGCTCTGAACAGTCCCCTGCAGGAGTCTATAGAGACTCAAGTTGGGAGGGGTCTTCTATGTCTTGCTAAAGTTCTTAGCCTTTATCCCAAAGGCGAGTTGCAATCCTTTCATCTCTGTGAATCCTTGGTACAGTGTTGAGAAAGGCTGAGTTCAGGCTGTGCAGAATACCATGATCAATTAGTAAATCTAACTTAATCAATCTAAATACTGTATAATCTCACATGTGAAATCTAAAAAAAATCCAACTCAGAAGTAGAGAGTAGAATAGTGTCACCAAAAGCTGGGGTTGGGAGGTGGGGGGGGGGAGATGTTGGTCAAAGGGTATAAGGTTTCATTCAGTTAGGAGGACTAAATTTTTGAGATCTATTGCACAGCAGAATCTCTACACTTAATACATTGTGAATTTCAATGTCTCACCACAAAAAAATTAAGTGAGGTATTGGATAGGTTAATTAGGTTGATTTAATCATTCCACTGGGGTGTGTGTGTGTGTGTGTGTGTGTGTGTGTGTGTTGCCCATGCATCAAATTGTGCCCTATAAATATATACAATTATGGTTTGTCAAAAAAAATAATGTTAGTAAGAAATGTCTCTGGGGAGTAAGGGGGGTAGATTACTAGACTACTAGAGAGTAGTAGTTTGCCACGTAATTAATTCTCTTACCTGCTGGTCAGAATTTGAAATGCTTTTGAAAAGTTTTAGTAAGGAGTGACATGGGTATTTACATGGTCAGATGACTGTAACTGCATGAAGGAGAATGGACTTGTGGAGGCCAGGACTAGAGATAGGGAGATTGGTGAGGTAGGTTACTTGATACAGATCTAAACTGAGGCCACTGAAACTGGAGACAGAATTGGGGAGCAATATTTAAGGGGCATATTATGGTTTGTATCTGGAATGCCCCCAAAGTCTTATGTGTTGAAGTCTTTGTYCCCAGTGAAGCCATGTTTGGAGGTCAGGTGTTTTGGGAATTGATTGAATTATGAAGGCTCTGATTTATTGGTGGATTAATCCATTGATAACTGAGTGGACTACTGGAAGGTGGTAGAAACTGTAGACAGGTGGGGCTTGGTTGGGAGCTTGTCCATGGAGACTGTATCTTGTCCCAAGCCCCACCTCCCTGCTTTTGGCTACAAGGAGCTTAGCAACTTTCCTCCATCACATCCTTCCACCATGTTTCAGCCTTGGAGCCATCTGACTAAGGACTGAAACCTCTGCAACAGTGAGCCCAAAGAAAACCTTCTTTAAGTTCTTTCTGTCTAGTGTTGACTATAGCAATGAAAAGCCTACTAACGGGGTGAATTCATGGAGACTCCTTGATTAGCTTTGGGAGAGTGATGGATGACCATCTAAATGAGGAACTCCCATTTTCTCCATCCTTTGTCTTAAATTCATTATTCTGATATTGCATGTATATTGCTGGTTCTTTAATTTTTATTCTTCACTTTTATTTCCTATTCTCCTTATATTTTTTGCTTTTTTCAAGAGGTTAACTTTATCTACTAATCCTTTTATTGTTTTTAATTTCTGCCAATATGTTTTTAATTTTTAGGGATTCTGTTTTAGGACATTTTGGTTGTTTTCAGTTTGGGGCTTTTAAAATAACTATACCAACATTGGGTGTAGTTCTTTTTCTGGGATAGACACCCAGGAGTACGATTGCTAGGTTGTAAGGTAAGCATATGTTTAGTTTTATTAGAAATTGCCAAACTATTTTCCAGAGAGACTATATACTGTTTCTACCAACAGTGTATGAGATATCCACGTTTTGTAACATCTTGGTTTTACMACGTTTGATGTTGTCAGTGTGGCTGGTGGTGGTGACTGTGTAAATATTATTTCAGAAATAATCGTTGAGATTACTTGTCCTTTCTTATGTTTCTTTGTTTTTCCTAGAGTTTTTGCCTTTACTTTATTCTATGTTTTCTATGACTAATGTAAGAAATTTTTTTTACATCACTATTTACAATGTTTCCATTTGCCCAGAGAAAGTTGGTGTGTGTGTGTGTGTGTGTGTGTGTGTGTGTGTATAGAAAGAGTTTTATATTGTAATTTTGTTTTACATAAATGTTATAATATTATACATATGGTTATTTGACTTTTTTTTCACTTAATATATCTTGGATATCTTTCCATGTTAGAAAACTATAGCTCAACTTAATTATTTTCTTTTAACTCTTACCTAAGTACTTGATATGGTCATATCATAGTATTAATCATTTGTTTGTTTGTTTTTTTCTGGTTATATTAAACCTAATTTGTGCAAATGGATTGATATTTAATTCTTCATAGTCTCCAGTTATAGTTAATTTTAGTTCTTATTATTTTTACCTTCCATTCTTCTCCCTTCACCATAGACATCTGCTCCCATACATTTAATGTGTATCTTTCCAATTTACAGGCTTTATTTTTCTTACATGGCATACAACATTATTTTCTGTGCTTAAACATAGTAAAAGTAATATGCTATTTATCTTTACAACTTTTATCATGCAAATTATGCTTGAGTTCCATCCATATAGATGGATATGTCTACTTTAAAACTTTTAACTGCCGTACAGTAATGTAGCATTTTATTTATTCATTCCTCCATGGTGGTCTTTTAGGTTGTTTCTGACCTTTTGCTGTTATAAACACTGATGCAATGAACATTTTTAAAATATTTATATTTTTATTTGTTCTAATTAGTTATACATGACAGTAGGATGCATTTCAACACGTCATACTTAAATGTTGAGTACAACTTCTCTTTCATCTGCTCATACKATGTAGAGGTCATGTAATCATATATGCACATAGGGTAATAATGTCTGATTCATTCTGCTATAATTTCTACCCCCATGCCCCCTCCCCTCTCCTCACTCCCCTTGGTCTAGTCCAAATTACCTCTGTTCTTCCCCCCACCAGTGAACATTTTTACTGTTGAGTTTTGAGAGCTCTTTTTATATTTGAGATACTAGTTCTATACTGGATATGTGCTTTGCAAATAATTCCTCCTGGTCTGTAGCTTAATGTTGTTTCTTTCTTTCTTTCCTTTTTTTTTTTTTTTTTTGTGTGTGTGTATTG